CGCTCTCGGGAATCACCTGCCCTCTCCTCGTCCCTCACTGATCCTCCACCCTCCTGCCCAGTTCGGACGGACCGAGGTGATTGACAACACGCTGAACCCGGACTTCGTGCGCAAATTCGTCCTCGACTATTTCTTTGAAGAAAAGCAAAATCTGCGCTTTGATGTGTGAGGCCCCGCCCACAATTCTGGCTTGGCCCGCCCCGCGACCTGGATCCGCCCGGAATTATGCCTGGTCCCGCCCCGCCTCGCCTCGCGGCCTGGCTCCTCCCCCAGGCCTAGCTCCGTCCCAATGTGAAGGGCTCCACTCCAGCCTGAGCCCCGCCCGCAGGTCAGATCCAGTCCAATTCGCTCCCCAGGTCTGGCCCTGCCCACAACTCTGCTCCCTAATTCAGCTCCCCCTAAGACCCAGGCCCCTCCCAGATGGCCCTTCCCCCAGCAGGCCCCTGCCTTGGTCTTTCGTCGGGCCTGACCCTCCCCGATCCTGACTCTTGTCCCAAACAAGACCAAAGTTGAATTTGGGTCCACAGCCGACCCTCCCCTTCTGCAGGTCCCAGCCACAATTTTAACTAAGACTCGGAGCGGGACCCTTTCCACCTGACTTCCACCCAGCCCTATCCCAGGCAGGTTCCACTCTCTTCCCAGGTACAACGTCGACTCCAAAACCAACATCTCCAAACCGGTGAGCAAGTGTTCCCTCGCAGCTTGGCCGGACACACGGGAGACAATTAGATGTGTTAAACGATCCTCCTTAGAACTCCTCGATCCCCACCCCACCTTCAGGCCCCCAACCCACCCTCCTGGCCTCTCCTGCTCCTGCTGGGTTTCCTGCCTGCACCCCTTACTCACTGCTTCTCTTCCTTCTACTGCTGCTGGGACCTGCAGAAGGTGAGGCTGAATGGGGCTGGGCGAAGGCTGGGCACGAGGTGGAGGAGCATGGGATGGTATTATGGAGAGCAGGGATGGTATTATGGAGAGGGGTGATGATAAACCAAGAAGCAGAACTTACCTGCAGACCCCTTCTCCCCCACCCCCTCCATTAAAGCAATACTGGTCAGTGGTTCTTTCAATGTTTTGCCATCTGGGAACTGCCCTGGTCCTGTGCAAGTACCACCACCAGGGCTGGGCTGGGACTTTGAGCCCACAGCCCCTCCTGGTCTTGTTGACTCACTGTTCTGGCACAGGATTTCCTGGGACAAGCCTTCCTGGCCCTGGGAGAGGTGATTGGAGGCCAGGGCAGCCGCGTGGAGAGACCCCTCACGTGAGCAGAATGGGAAGGGGTGCGGGAGAGGGCGGGCACCTCCATATTCTTCCTCCCAAGGATGCTGCTGACTGATAGCAATGGAGGCCGGGGCTGCCCCTGGTCAGGAGCCTACAGTGGCTCTCCTCACCCTCATGGGAAAGTCCAATCTCTATAGCTCTGCTCAAGTCAGCCTCAGGCCTGACATGTCCTCTCTCTCTCTCCTCACTCTTTTTCTAAGTCTGATGCAACCTTTAAGGTCCACTTCCAAGTCCCTCTCCACTGGGAAGCTTCCCCTGACTAAGTCAAATCCTCAGGAATTTCCATTATTTTCATTCACGTGTATCAGCATGTTTTTTTATGCCACACCCTGTTCTAGGCACCAGAGATTCATGCATTCCACAAATACTACTGGGCACATACTTTAAGTCAGCCACTGTTCAAGGGACTTGAGTTACAATGGCAAACAAAGCAAAGGCTCATGTCCTCAGGAAGCTTATAATAGTTGTCAGAGGAAGGTAGCACAAAACAGACATACTAAGTAAATTACACAATGTATTAGAAGACATTAGGTGCTATGGGAAAAGCGACAAAGTTGAGCAGAATAAGGGGGATTGGAAATGCTGGGTCGGTAGGAGGTGCGATATTCAAGTGGCACTCGAGTAGGCCTCATGGGCAGGTACTTTGGAGCAAACCTGAAGGAGGTGAGGGAGTAAGTGGTGCAGACATGTGGGGGAAGAATGTTCCAGGCAGACGAAACTGCCAGTACAAAAGCCTGCTGTGTTCAAAGGATAGGAAGGAGGCCAATGTAGCTGGAGCCAAGTGAGTGAGGGACAGGGCAGGAGGAATGAGGTTAGAGAGTTAACAATAAGGGCCTTGTAGCTACTGTAAGGACTGTAGCTTTTACTCTGAAATGGGAGTCACTGGAGGGTTCCAAGCAGAGGAGTGATGATCTGACTATGCTTTCAAAGGATGGTCCTGGCTGCTGGATGAAGAATAAGCCTTGGGTGGCCAAAGGTAGAAGCAGGGAGCCAATGAGAAGGCTATAATAGTAATTCAGGATGCTACCAGTGAAGGAGGGGAAAGATGGAACTGCCACCAAATGAAGTGGTGGGAAAAAAGCAAAGGAGATCCAAGCATGGTGTCATCCACCTGTAGTCCTAGCTACTTGGGAGGCTGAAGCAGGAGGATTGCTTAAGCCCATGAGTTCCAGGCTGCAGTGAGCTATAATGGTGCCACTGCATTCCAGCCTGGGCAACAGCGAGACCCTGTCTCAAAGAAAAAAAAGCAAAGGAGCGCAAGCTGGGGGAGGGAATTCAATCAGGAGTTCAGTCTGACAGGCTGAATGTTGAATGTTCTGTTACAGTGGTCTCCGACCTTTTTGACATCAGGGACTGACTGGTTTCATGGAAGACAATTTTTCCATGGGGAGTGGTTTTGAGATGATTCAAGCACATTACCAGATGCAGCTATACAATTGAAGTACATCGATGCACTTGCCATTCACTGACAGGGTTTTGATATGAGTATGCAAGCAATTGACTTATTATGGTCTCTGTGCAGTCAAACCTCACTGTTAATGTTAATCTGCATTTGCAGCCACTCCCTGGCACTAGCAACTCCGCCTCAGCTCTACCTCAGATCATCAGGCATTAGATTTTCATAAGGAGTACGTAACTTAGATCCCTCCCGTGCAAAGTTCACGTTAGGGTTCATGCTCCTGTGAAAATCTAATGTTGCCGCTGATCTGATAGGAGCTCAGATGGTAAAGTGAGTGATGGCGAGCAGCTGTAAACACAGATGAGGCTTCACTCACTTGCCCGCCATTCACCTCCTGCTGTGCACCCGTTCCTGACAGGTCACAGACTGGTGGGGGTCTGGCCCAGGGGTTGGGGACCCCTGTTTTATTAGACATCCGATTGGAGGTTTCAGATAGGCGATATGATACAAGAGTCTTAGTCTTAGATGTTCTGTAAGGCCATAGTTTTAGATGAGATCTAATAGGAGTAGGGGGTAGAGAGTGAGAACAAAAGACTAAGACTCCACGTGTTGGATCTACAAAAAGAGACTAAGGAGTAATTAATGAAGTAGGAGGAGAGCCAAGAGAATGTGGTATTATCATGGAAGCAAAGTGAAGAAAGTATATCAAGGAGAGAGTGACCAACCACATCAAATGTTGCTGCAGGTCAAATAAGATGAGAATTGGGAACTGGCCATTGGATTTAGCAGGGAGAGATACTTGAAGGCTCTGATGAGCATGATTTTGATGGAAAGGAGGAGGTGGAGCGGTTTTGAAGAGAATAGAAAAAGGGGGTGGGAGTCAAGGAATCTTTCAAGGAGTTTTGCTACACAAGGGAAAAGATAAAGGATGTGGCTAGAGCAGGAAGTGAGGTCAAGAATAGATTTATAATTTTATTTTTTGAATTGGGGTCTCTGTTGCCCAGGCTGGAGTGCAGTGACACAATTACATCTCACCACAGCCTCAACTTCCTGGGCTCAAGTGATCCTTTCGCATCTGCCTCCCAAGTAGCTAGGACTTCACGCCCATACCACCATGCCCAGCTAATTTTTTGCAAAGAATTTTTTATAGAGAATTTTTTATATCACTCTGTTGTCCAAGCTGGTCTTGAACACCTGGGCTAGGCCAGGCTTGGTGGCTCAGCCTGTAAACCCAGCACTTTGGGAAGCCAAGGCAAGTGGATTGCCTGAGCCCGCGGGTTTGAGACCAGCTGGGGCAACTTGGTGAGAACTCGTCTCTACAATAAATAAATTAAAAAATTAGCTGGGTGTGTGGCACATGCCTGTGGTTCTGGCTACTTGGAAGGCTGAGGTGGAAGGATCACCAGAGCCCAGCAGGAAAACGCAGGGGTGGCTGTGAGTGTGCCAGTGCACTTCAGCCTGGGCAACAGAGTGAGACTCCAACTCAAAAATAAATAAATAAATAAATAACTCCTGGGCTCAAGCAATCCTCTTGCCTCAGCCTCCCAAAGTGCTGAGATTACAGGTGAGAGCCACCATGCCCAACCCAAAGAATAGATTTATAATTCTTTAACATGAGAAAAATTATACCCCATTTTTATGTTGATGGGAATAACTGAGTAGAAACGGAAAGACTGACGTAATAAAAAGTGGTGAAAATTGCTTGAGTGATGTCTTTATGCAGACAAGAAGGTATGAAATATAGTACACAGCAGAGGGATAAATAGGCACACGGACAGTTCATTTATAGCATCTGTAGGAGTCACACGTGTGGGTGAAGATCCTGGTGGCAGGGTAGGTGTGGTGGTGGGTGGACAGTCTCTTCAATTTTGGTTGCTTCAGTTTTGTCAGTGAGTAGGAAACAAGGTCATTGGCTGAGAGTGAAGATGGGGAGGAGGCTTTGGGAGTTTGAGGAAAGAGGAGGAGTGAAACTGCCATCTAGCAGAACTGAAGAGTGAAGGGCCTCTGAATGTATAATATGATTACCAGACAGCATTGAGGACCCTCTTAAAGTTTGTGGTCATGCACTTCAAATGAGATGAAAGGGGAGAAAATGAGACCAGTTCACATAATTGTGTGCTCTTCTCTAGGTTCAGTTTCACAGGTGCAGTATGGGTTAGGTAGAGAGTTGAATGTAACTAGGGCTGTGGTTCTGCCAAATAACTGTATCAAAAGTGAGAGAAGGGCAAGGGAAAGAGGATGCTAGGGAGTGATAATTATAGTCACTGAGTGGAGTTCACATTGGGTAAGGAGATAAGGGGGAACATCAAGGAGGCCAAAAACAGTGAGGAGGCAATAGGATCAACGATCTGCTGGTCCTGCATGTGCAGGTAAATAGGCCTGCCCTTATCACACTCCCTCTTTTTTTTTTGAGGAGTCTCATTCTGTCGCCCTGGCTGGAATACAGTGGCACACTCGCGGCCACTGCAGCCTTGACCTCCTGGGCTCAGGCGATGCTTCTACCTCAGCCTTCCAAGTAGCTGTAACTATAGGTACACGCTGCCACGCCCAGCTAATTTTTTTAATTTTTTTTTGAATTGGAGTCTCACTCTGTCGCCCAGACTGGAGTGCAGTGGTCGCTCCCGACCACCCCAGCCTCAACCTGCTAGGCTTCGGCGATCCTTCCGCCTCAGCCTTCCAAGTAGCTGGAACTACAAGCGCACGCTACCATTCCCGGCTAATTTTTTGATTTATTGTAGAGATGAGGTCTCACTAAGTTGCCCAGGCGGGTCTCGAACCCGCGGGCTCAGGCAATCCACTCACCTCAGCCTCCCAAGATGCGAGATTACAGGCTGAGCCACTGAGCCTGGCTTAATTTTTTAAATTTATTGTAGAGACGAGGTCTTGCCAAGTTGCCCAGGCTGGTCTTGAACCCCTGGGCTCAGGCAATCCTCTTGCCTCTGTTTCCCAAAGTGCTGGGATTACAGGCATGAGCCACTGTACCCAGACCCTCTTTTTAAAGCACAAAGAATCAGAGATTTAAGGAATCAAGGAAATAGCTCAACATTCATTTTAAAGATGGGGGAAAACATAGCAAGTTAGAGCCAGAAATTGAATCCATGACCCTTCTGGCCTAGCTTTCTCTCTGCTACACTTTAGATCCCTTTGAGAATCAGCATTCGCAGGACGCTATGAACAGGTCTCTTGCTACTAGAGATGTGGGTCCTTGTAGGTAACCTTCAGGCATATGGAAGTGTCCCTTCTAGGATCAGGAGAGGATACATCTTCCCTTGTCTTTTTTTGTCTTGTTCTTCACAGGCTTCAGAAAGCACATCAGCTTTGACCTAATAAACCAATCCTTTTGCCCCTGGGTCTGGATAGCAATTTCTCTCCCTCATTCAGAATGACTACATTACACCTATTTGCTTCATGACTCTGACATTTCACCTCCCTCTGGAAGCTCCCTGAGGGCGAAGTCTAGCAGAGTCGGAGAGTGCCATCTGCCCCACTCATTTCTAGCACAGCACCTGGCATATGTAGGTACCAGGGTCTACTTTGAAGACTACAACCACTTCATATTTATAAAGCTTACAAGTTGCTTTTCCTTCCATTCACTCATTCAGATCTCTTTACAGTCCTGAAAGGTAGTCCTATTTCATAAAAGAGAAAACTAAGTCCCAGGAAGGAAAAATAACTTGCCCAGGGCCACACAACTTGAAAATCATATCTTCCCTGAGTCCACTGACTCTAAATCCTATGTATTTCTTACACTAAAAGATGTCCACCTAAGCTAGTCTAACTCCTTCCTACCAGGCTACAGACCTCCCTCGCAACCCCCAACCCCGAGTCAAAGTCAGGCCTTTCTCCACCAGGAGTCACCCAGGACAGAAGGGGACACACTCAGAGGACTATTAGTAAATAGCAAATTGAATCCCCGGCCCACCCGATCCCAGATTGACTATTCCGATTCTTGTTGTCTATTCTCCCTCCTCTCACTAAGAGGCTTTTTTCTGCTTCCAGGGGTGTGCCAGGCAAGAAGTGTGGGACCATATTGCTGACTGCAGAGGAGCTTAGCAATTGTCGGGTCAGTAAGGGCCACATGCTAGACCCAGGAGCTCCCTTCTTTCTCCATATACCCTTTAGGGGAATGTCTGAGGCTATAGGCAATTTGGGTGTCAATAGCCCAATATCATCTATCCCTAGGACATTGTCACCATGCAGCTGTGTGCAAACAAGCTGGACAAGAAGGACTTCTTTGGGAAATCAGACCCCTTCCTTGTGTTCTACAGGAGCAATGAGGATGGCACGTGAGTCAATGCCACCAGGGCTCTTGGGCTGGGGTTGGGGCGTGTGCTTAACAAGTGGGGGAGGCTGGGTGCAGTGGCTCATGCCTATAATCCCAGCACTTTGGGAGGCCGAAGTGAGAGGATTGCCTGAACTCACGGGTTCAAGACCAGCCTGGGCAACTTGGCAAGACCTCATCTCTACAATAAATAAAACAAAAAACAAAAACAAGAAAAAAAACAAATGGGGGAATCTCTAAAAGTATTGGGCTCTGTCTCTGGATTCAGGGCAAGTGCCAATCCTCCCACTCCTCTCCAGGTTCACCATCTGCCACAAGACAGAGGTTGTAAAAAACACGCTGAATCCTGTGTGGCAGCCCTTCAGCATCCCTGTGCGGGCACTGTGCAATGGAGACTATGACAGGTCTGCTTCAGCATATGCTTGGGAGTAACAGGCCAAGGACGTGACATTGAGTTCCCAAGCCCCAGAATGATGATGGAAGTATCATAACAGTGTTAGAGGGGCCTGTTCAGTAAGAGTGAGTTTTAGGCATGGAGATGGGTAGATGGGGAGGCAGATGGATAGCCACATGGATAGATATGTGCTATAGATGGATAGATAAATGGATGGGTGGATGGACGGATGGACTGGAGGTGGATGAGTAGATAAAATGAATAAGCAGATACATGGATGGATGGTCAGATGAATACACTGGTGAGTGGTTAGATGGGTATGTAGATGGATACATAAGAGGCCTGGTGTTTGGGTAGAGGAGAGATGAATGAATGGACAAATGAATGGATAACTGAACTAATGACAGATTAGTGGATCAGATTATAGATGGACTAACAGATGGACAAGTAAGTGGTAGACGAGTAAGTGAGAGTTTGATGGATGACTGGAGAGGTAGATTGGTGAATGAAAAAGCAGGTGGATTGATAGAAAAAGAGTTTTGGGGAAAAAATAAGAAAAAGCAGGTAGGATAGAAAAGGATAGGTGGAGTGACAGGTAGATAGATGGTTGGACAGATGAATGGATGGATTCATGGATGAATTAGTTGATGGATGGTGTAAAGTAGATAGAATGGCTGAATGGACAAATAAATGAGTAGCATGAAGACAGGTGGAAGGGTGGAAGGATGGATGGGCACATGGATGGATGAGTAGATGGATGGTTATGCAGATGAATGGATAACTAGATAAACATAGTTTGACAAGTGGATACAAATATGGATTAATAGGTCATTGGATTGGGATATATGGGTAAAAGGGTGGCTAGATGGTCAGAAGGACTGACATACTGATAGACATACAGGATGGCTTAGGCATGATAGTTAAGAACAAGGTCTTTGGAGTCAGGATGTCTGAGTTTAAATCTTAGCCCAGTAACTTACTGGCTATGGGATCTTAGACAATTACTTTTTTTTCCTTATCCAAAAATAAGAGTAATAGTACTTTATATAGGGTGATTGTTAAATTAAATGAGACAATCTGTGAAAGTGTGAGAACAATGCCTGACATACAATAATACTCAATAAGTGGTTTTTAAAAAAGCAATAGTGGCCGGGCTCGGTGGCTCAGCCTGTAATCCCGAGCCTTTGGGAGGCTGAGGTGAGTGG